TCTCGAATTGTATCTTCGATGCCTAACCTTTTCTATTTCGACTTGAACTGTTGATACCTGTACTACAATAGGATTCTCCCGGACAATTTTATCTCGTTGTGCAATGGGGTATAGCAACATGTACCAGGTCCACCGTTACTAATGACCGATTGAATGACCAGCTTCCTCAAAATTGCAATAAACCCTATCGGTGAAAGCCAGTGGGTACAAAATTTTCTTACAGGTGATCTTGGTGATAATTCTAAACATTTACAACTGAAAATTTTTTTAAGCTAAATTCAAAGATTAGAGTTTCCAAAGTGAATATAGTTAGGAACTTACTCAATGCGTACCACATACTATGAACTTCGATCTAATTAAATCCAAACATTTATTAACAAACTTATGTAATCTAATTTCTGTAACTTAATAAACAATTTTAAATTATATAATCCTATGATACACTTAAACAACTTTGAGCGGATATTAATAGTTTTCATAATTTTTATGTTTAATACTGTCAGCGTTAGTGATTTGTGTATCACATAAAATGTTCGATTTATGTGATGGCTGGGTAGCTACCCGGGTGCCCAAACCGAACCAGGTAGTTTTCGTAGAGGGTCACACCCATAGTCTTTGATCTAAAGGTTTAATCCACAAGTCATTGGGGCAATATCAGGAGATTCAGTCCCATGGTAGCCGATGACCAACGATTGGTTCATACGTCAATTTTTTTTTACCTCTGGATCCTGGAGCCCATGTACTTCACTGGTTTGGAATCAAGGCTTTCCAACTCCCCTAGGTGGTTACTCCGCGTTCACCAATCCGATTTTCGTCCTCTCAATGCTGTAAACAACAACTCCACCGCGAGAAGACAGTAAGTAGGACTTCCCTGACAGTGATTGTATGCACGTGGCCATGTGAGAGCATTTCGAGCTGAAGAGCTGACTCTTCTCACTCTCAGGTGTACCAGAGCATTTGGGGGAATTATATTAATTGGATAATTTGTTTGAAATATTTTCAAGTTTCACTGAAGAAATTATGATTAAAACATGTGAAAATGTATTGTAAGTAGTTGAGAGATCGTATAATAACTTAAAACAATATGAACCTTTGATGAACTTTGACGAACCGATGTTTTATATTTTAAAAACCTTACATAACGGTGTATGAGAGTGACTTTCTAATATGATTAGACCTAAAAAAATACTTTCCAATCATTAAATTCCGTTGTACTCAGTTGTTATGAATGGTATAAATGATTATATTGAATTTAAAAAAACCCAACCAATTTAATCATTTTAAGATTTCATTTTGGGAGGCAAAATCCGACTCACACGTCCGCGTCGAGCCTCCTGGATAATGAGACAAATGACCCACGAACTAACGTGAGCGGTAATCCGGGTGGTGGAAATCAGGCTAATCACCCACTCTACCTATACGCACCAACTGATTGCGAAATCCACAGATAAACATAGCACAACAACATTTGGAATGGAAAAAGACAAAATATTTTCTCGAAAGTGTTGCATGTAGCATATGGAGTTGTTCATCATTGGGCAAACTCCAAAGCTTTGCAGAAACAACCATAATATTTCCGGTAGTTGTAACGTGCTTTGATGTGGCCTATTTCTCTCAAGAAGGGCCTATTAGGCTTCACCAACTTGTTTGGCTGGAAGGGGTGAGATTTCAGTTTATAGTTCATAAAAGTAACTTCGATTATGAAGTGTCTTCTGAATGTGACCAGTATATACATTGGATTATGAAGTTCCAAGTTTTTATAACCGTGGAAATCAATTTGGATTATATAGTTGTTAATGTAACCTGAAACAGTTTTAAAGCTTAATATAATCGAATGAAGCTATAGTTTTAGATGATGGCTCAAAGTGGAATCCAAGATGTGTAACTTATGTCAGTTAGTTAGGAAGATGTACTTGTCTTTCACTGTTCACAAATTCCAAATCAAACTAAAAGCTTTTCCTGGAATTCATAAATCAATACTAATCAGATGTTTAATCAATTTACAAGTAAGGGGAATTTCAAGGTAATTGATAAAGGAACTCTTATAAAAAGACAGACTAATAAAAGATAGTACTGTTTATCAACAAAGAAGTGAAGGTAAAATGATTGAAGAACAAACAGTTTGTCAGCGAACAATTGTTTTCAATTGCTTAATCATCATCAAGCTCTACAATTATAAGCCCATAATTATTGTGATATTCTTATGAAGGTCGAAATAAGGCATGGCATTAATAAATTTGACAATGTTGTTATATGTTGAAAATGGTGAACTTTTTTCCATTTGTTACAACATAAATACTTCAAAATTATATTATATGTAAATTAGAAAGATCATTTAGATGATAAATGACTCGAAGCGTCAAAGACAACCAATTGAGATACGCGCAAAACAACAATTTGTCTAAAACAGCGATTCTTTATTGAATAATACACAACAATTAGTTACAAATATCGACTTTTGAGGTGTGTGCGTGTCCTTTTGTATGAAACAAAAAGGGCTTCGATAGTGCAAAAGACAGCTGATAGCTGTGTCTAAACATGGTAACAATTTATCAACAAACAAAATCCGAACGAAAAGTAAAACAATATGGAAACTGTTGAGTTTAAACAAATTCACGAAACTGTAGATAACTGCTACAGTGATTAAGGTAAAGTAATTATAATGATAAATACAATAAATGTTATAAGTATTTTTTTAAATATTTCAGAATATTACACGACAACTTTCGTTACCACATAAGTTTAAAAATTTCTGGGAGTACAACTATTTACTGAATATTATTAAGTAGTATAAAATAATGCACGAAAGAGTCGAAGTTAAGTGATTAAGGATAGAGGATGTAAAATAGACTTATTTACTTCTCATGGAGGAGCACAGGCTATTCACCAGCATTTTTCTATTGAACTCTGTCCTGAGTAACTACGATTACAGATGTTCTACAGTTACTATCGGTCTCAATTTCATCATACCACTTCACTCATTATGTTTCAAGAAAGTTCAATAAAGTTACACATTTAAACTGTTGATTCCATTGTAAGACAAATGAATTATGTCACATAAATTTAGAATAAAATAAAATTCTTATTGCAATATGTAATTTCCAGTTGAACAAGTTTATAAGTGAAGTAAAACTGATGATGGTCAAAATGAATATAGGTAATATATGATGAGATAAATAAATAAAATTAAATGTTCGATTGAACATAGGATCATCGACCAACTTAAGATTTGGCGCAATCATCATTCGGTGCCATTTCCGATAATTGGAAATGGCTAAATTAGCAATCAATATTTTAAGCTGTATAAAAAAATTTTCTTCTCCCGATTCATACTACTGAGTGGTACGAATAATCTTCATAGTTCATTTGATCAAAATAAATCGTTTATTCATTTTTTTAAAATTGTAATTTTAGACTTACAATTCTTCACAGTCACGTATCATATTTTGCTTTCTGATATTGCTGTTCCTTGATAAGATGCTATATACCAAATATATATGACAAATTTGATATCATTTCATGTAGTGTCACACAGAATTCATTCCAATTATTTCACTAATCTACCCTGATATATATATCAGTACATTTGAAATAATTCCTAGAAATTCTACTAAGAGTTCATGGTCAGTTTAATCAACCGGTTTATGACTGATCACCCCCTCTCTATATATCAATGTAATGAAGGAGTATTGAGTTCAGAATTGAGAGATTTATTATTTAAGCATAAATAAGTACACCATCAAGAAGGTACAAGTATCTATAAATGGTTGTCTTCGCAAGATACTAAACATCCATTGGCCGGATACCATCAGCAACAGCCTTCTCTGGAAGACAACATATCGGCTTATAACTGAAGAGGAAATTAGGAAAAGACGATGGAAATGGAAAGGATATCCATTATGGAAATCATCAAACTGCATCACGAGGTAAGCCCTAACTTGGAATCCTGAAGGGAAACGGAAAAGAGGAAGGCCAAAGACCACATAATAGAGGGAGATATGAAAAAGACTAATAGGAACTGAAAAGAGCTGGAAGGGACTTCCCAGGACAGGGTTGGATGGAGAATGCTGGTGAGCGACCTATGCTCCTTCACGAGGAGTAACAGGCGTAGGTAAGTAAGTATAAATAAGTACATAAAAGATATCTCACCAGTTAAGTTTGAAGTATAATTGTAACATATTTATTAATGTTTTATATCAAAAATATCAATCAATCTGATCAATTAAAAATTTCACTGAACCTCATTAGTTATTTTAGAAAACTGTATATTCTTAACAAAAAACATTTAGTCATTCAGCACATTTTATTGATGACAGTTTAGGATCATGGCAACAGTATTATATTCAATAATTTCAATTTGAAATAATCAAATCACTAAGTGACTTCTATTTAAAACAATAAAAGAGAGAATATATATTGATCTATTGAAGTATTGTGTTGTATTGTGCTGCGTGCTACTTATATTGATATAAGTAGTATATAACACGAGTCAGGAATATAATATCTAGCAGCAGACGATTGTGAAGATTAAAAAAGGAAGAACAGAAATAGAAAGCAATTAGTATAGAAATGTAAGGACAATGAGTATGGTTTTTCTGTTTTACCAATTAACTCTGTTATTTTGTGCTAAAAATAATATGGTTGTCCTCACCTATGTTCTTCTTCACTACAGTAATAACATTTCAACTATGTAACCAATATCTAAAATATCCAATCAGAATATACATTTTAAAAAATTGATTGATCGATTTATTTATTGATTGATTGATAGGTCAGTAATTAATAAGTGTTCTCTCTTTTCTTCTTATAATATATATAACTACTGTTTCCTTATTCATCAAAATAGAATTCTAAAAACAATCAATCAAATAGATTCTCTTATAATATCTAAACACTTTTCTTTATTCTGTATTATTTCGGTTTATATTCAACTGGATTAATTGAAGGAAAATAGACAATAGAAGTTTACATTGCTGAATTACCTTTAAATAAAAAAAATCATGGAATTCATCAATCAATTATCCTTAAAACAGAACACTACAAATTCACTCAATGTATTCAATAATAATCAATCAATCAATGTAAAAGTTCAAAGAAAATGGACTATGAAATCTTTGGTAATTATATAGATATACATAAAGTATTTTATCAGAAGAGGTTTTGTGGAGAGTTTAGTAATTGCATTAGTTGAAATCATGAGTCAATTTAAGCTAAGTGATGGGTTCGAATCTCGCGGGAGGGGGCGAGCTCGTTAGTGCGCACTGCTGAGGAGTCCCATACTAAGGCAAAATGGCCGTCCAGTGCTTCTAGGTTTTCCATGCTGGTATAGTTTCACTTGACTCATGATTTCAACTATTCATATAGTATTTTATTAAGTTGAATTGTTTTTTGTGAAGATTGATCTAAATCAAAGGTAGTTTTCCTTATAAATCGTCTAATTACGTGGTGTTGTTTTACTTGTATATTCCTATTGTTATTTAAGACTTCAATTGATCAGTCTTACCCAATTGCACAAGCAAGTGGCTATTAGGGCTCAGTAGCTAAGTGGATAACGCCATGACGTTTGAAGCGAACGATACTGCATTCGACTCCCGAATTGAACATTAACTCTGCGATGCAAATACATCCAGCTGACGGAACGTGCAACAAACTGAATTCCATTGCTAATCACTATCCATTTTCGTCTAATCACGGTTTTTGTTTAACTAATTAAAGTTGCAAAACTTGATACCAATGCTGTTAGGTTTAATGATAGCCTAGGAATTGATTTTATGTGAGCTGTGTGCGTACACTGATGATAAGTGTAAAGTAATTTTGTACCTGTGGTTAATTCGCAGCAAAATAACCGTTTTCCATTTATTATTATTGGAATGGGATCGTGGATACGCATCGCTGAGTAGTCCCACAATAGGACGAAATGGCCGTACAGTGCTTACACGTTTTCAATATGAATTACGTGTCTTTGCGCCAAAAGCTCTCATTTTCACCTTCATGTCGTATTTTCCACTTGCGAAGATCTTAAACGCCATTGTTTTGTTGTATCTTCTAGTATGCTCTTTTGTAACGCTTACCAAGGTCAATTTTATGTTGTATATGTACGTTTGATTTCTGACACATCAGAATAGCTAGCTTATTGACCTTTGGTTTCAGACTAGGTGAACTTGGAATCGCTTCAAACAAAGCAGTATATTGCTGATTTTCAGAATAAGGTATAAAAGTACCAATTTTTGAATGTTAACATTATTATATAATTTTGTAAACAATATGAACCAAATAGAAAATGATGAAGATTGTTTATTTAATTTGAAGATAGTTTATAGTTTCTTTTAGTGTTTATTCTTATATCAATTCATCGTATCCAATGCTCACATTGTCCCTTTTTGATTTGTTTGAATTTTCGTTTACAACTGATTAAATAGATGAACTTTCAATGATTAATTTTATAATTAATTTTGTAAACTAGTATGAGAAATTAGGATTCGAATTTACGGTTATAATTTAGGTATATGAATTAAAATAGGAGTTATCATCATGAGCTAACATCAACCAAAATGACAAAATTCTATTTAGCTATATGGATAAATGAATTCCGTTCCAAAATCTAAGATCTGCAATCTTAAATCTGATGTGTTTGTTCATAGATCAGATCCTGGATTGGAATCCCACGTGACTGGATAGTGGATGCGCATTGCTGAGAAGTCCCACAGTAGGACGGAATGGCCGTTCAGCGCTTCCAGGTTTTCCATGGTGGTTTAACTTCAATTGACTCATGATCTCAGCTGTTAAAATTACTATAACATCCACAAAACCTCTTCAGATCATAAATTATAGTTTCGCTCTAATAATTCTTGTTTTTCGTAGATAAAACTCAGAGACGTTAGAACATGAACAATTATGTACGCAAGCAATTTGAAGTAGTTTTTTTTCGATTACCACAGAATAGAAATGTTGGTGAGACCTTTGAGCGACGCTATAGAGACCCAGAGAATGTCCACCAACATACTAAGGCTAATTGAAGGTTATAAACCAAATTGAGGAATTCGGATTAATATTTACAGTTGATAGTTAGGGTTAGGAATCAGATATAGGGTTTTCATCACGAACTAACATCAGTTATAATGCCAAAACTCTATTTACTCGAATGGATGAGTGAATTTCGCGCCGAAATTCAAGACCTGTCATCGTAAATCTGATTGATTTGTCCATAATTTATAGTCTCTTCGAAATGTTTATATATCATTATGAAAGTAATTTATTCTATCCAACTAATATATTCACATAAACTATGATAAAAAGTTTAGCAATAAAATATTTTCTACTTGTATTATTAAGTAGTTAATAAAGTTCATAAACATTTTCCAGCCTTAAAATAGAATACAGATGACGATACTTCAGAGGCACAAATTGTTTTATATACTATAATTCTTTCTAAAGTGAGAAATTTTAATCCTTTGTTGTAAATGGAACTTTGAATGAAACAAAGAATGGAAAGTAATTATTAGGGCCCCATACTCGAACACGGTGCCATCCACTCTAAAGGCCACAGCGTTATCCATTTAGCTATCGAGACTCGACGGCGATCTGCTTGTGCAATGGAGTATAGTTTAGATTCACTTGGTATTGTTTTCTACTAACGAAGGATCACTTGGTGAACTCAATAAATATGAGCCATTAAGTTAGAATCAAAAGATTATTATTTTTAACTTCAGTTTTGTATAAAAATCATTTAGGTAGCATTTAGCCATCTCAATTGGTTAAGCTTCACCAGTCACAATTTTTGAAAAGGACTTCAAAACTCTCCTATGTTCATCTACAAGTAGGCAATAGTTATTGTTCGCTTATATGGTTTGGAGAGGGTAGACCAATTTGACGATAATTATTATCCTTAGACCTCAGTCTCATGAGAGTTGATACTTAACCATAAGGTATCCTGTGGAGGAGTTTCGTTCTCTAAGCTTGATAATTCAGTCATAAAGCTTTGATTGTCCTTCTGAACAACATCAGCACATAATTCAGGTAGCAGTAGCAGCAGTAGCGTACCTAAAGTTTGCGCTGACGAAATTCTATAGAATAACAGTGAAGGATCTGAGACTAAACTGTCTAGGTCAGGGAACAAAACTCCACTGAACTCGTCTATCTAAGCTACAACACTTTCTTAACATCTCCTTAAGATGATTGTAATCGTATGGAAAACTTTCTTACTTACTTACGCTTGTTACTGCAAATATAGCATAGGTATTCTCCAACCCACTCTGACCTAGGTCTTCCTTTCATGTTCTACACAATTTTTAATCATTCTTCTCATGTTTCTCTCCATTTGCTTCTTTGATCTTCCTCTTCTTCTTTGGCCTGAAGCCTACTGGCGGAGTTCAAAACCTTTCTATAATCTCTTATCTCTATACTTTATCAACTACACAAACTAACATCATCATCATCATCATTGATAATATTGCCTACATATATATATATATATATATATATATATATATATATATATATATATATATATTCAATCATTTTCAATTATTTTTATTTGTACCATTCTTACTGAACAAAATTTATTTTTCTTATTGGTTGTTGTTGTTGTTAAATATTTATTACATTTTCTAGTTAAAAAAATCTAAACCAAAATCTGAATGGGATAAATATGCAATAATTGATCGATCGAACTGGTTCAAATCACAAAACGCTGTAAGTTTTATATCTATATGGTATCAATATTGAAAGAGGTTTTTTTTCTTTTTTTCTTCCTTGTTTTTCTTTTTCATCTAATTATTCAACAATGAATTTGTTACATTAGATTATAAAATTTTTATCTACCTAACTTCGTCTTCTCCTTTTTTGTTTTTTTCGTCTTTTAATAATTCATAAAGTGTTTCTTTTCTTATTTATAGATACTAACGTCTATTACATTTATATAGAGAAAGAAAAAAATATTTTTTTTGTTTTAAAGAAAGAATCGAAAATGTTCCATTTTTCTTTTTTTTCGTTTTTTTCTTTGGAATAAAAATTTTAAAAAAATTTGTCACCATCTACAAAATGTGAATAAAAGTAATTTGTATCAAGATTATTTTAACTACTTTAAGGTTGATTATAATGAAAAGATGGAATGATGAATATTGTTTTTCTAAGATCATGAATTTAATTAAAATTAATTAAATACAATTAAAAATCTAATTTGATTTGGAAGTATGTTTTATGTGAATTAAACATTGAATAATAATAGTAATATTAATGTGAATGGAATGAAGCTTTAAATTTTGAATGTTCACTGCTGAAGAGTCCTACAATATGACGAAACCGCCGTCCCGTGTTTTCAGGTTTCGTCATAATATGAGACTTCTCAGTAGTACGAACATATCATCCCACCCGCGAGATTCGAACCCAGGAGTTGTCGGTCTCATCTGTGAACACTTAATCGACATCCAACGGTGTCGCATACTAGAACGAAATGGCCGTCCAGTGTTTCCAGACTTTCCATGTTAGTCTAACTTCAATTGACTCATGATGTCAACTATTGAAATGACTATAATATCCACAGAAACGTCTTCCTGATACTTATTCATTAATGATTCGGTTAATCAGGTTTTTTTAATTATATTTTTTTTCATATATTAACTAAAGTAATAAATAAAACTCTTTATACTTTTGATATTCTTTAAGAATGTTTCATTTAATCTTTCGACCTATGACTAAGGATTTACATAACTCAAAACTGGAATAATAAACTATATTGTTTAAAATTATGCATTGAATATGACCGAGTGGCGTTTATGAATGTTGACAAGACTATAATTTATGGACAAGCCAATCAGAAGCGTTTGAGGAATTTCAAGGTCACAGAGCCGATTTCAGTACCGGATGCTAACGTACGATCGGTTCAAAGCTGATTTCAGACAAAATGTGATAATTCAGCGGCTATAACAAAGAGGACTACTAAGATGTTCCTTTATTTGTGATTGTTGTAACCAAATGACTTATGGATCCTGTTCAGACTACCATGATGATGTTGCCTTTCGATGTAATATGTATTGGAGGAAGAAGTCTGGTACAATAGGACTTTTTCACTTGGTCCAAATTGAAACTAAGGCAAGGTATGACAATTGTTGCGAAATGAGTAATAATAGCACCAGTAACTAGTTGCAGCTAGGTACTACAATATACGGATGATTGAAGGGCGTATAGACGCCTACATAGACTTAGTTATGTGCATCGTGTAGTATCCACTAGTGGCATTTTGTGGACCCAACAACCGGAATGCACACAAACAATATCTAAGCTATGTGGTAGTGAATGAAAGAGCTTTTGTGACTTTATCATGGCTCCGGAGGCCAACTACTATGAAGCCGTATGGATGATTTCCTCTACGGTATGCATCACGATTTTAGGGCTTCTGAACCTTTTGCTAACCCTGACAAGTTTTCGAACCATGTCAAAGAAGTGTATCCACTTTAATTCTTTAGTTTTATATAATATATTTTGACTTCATACAGACTGTTTTGTGATTGGTTAATATTTCTCAAAGTCACTTAACATTCATTCAAAGGTCGTCCATAAATTATAGTCACGCCGAAAAATTTATCCTACATTCTTTCTATCGGAAGTTGGACTTTCATGATTCATACTTATATTTTCATGAACAGACAGTACTGTGAAAATGATTCAATAATGAATAGCTTATCAAATTATTATTGAAGTGAATACTCTCAGTGAAACAATGAAAAATTTCCACTTACCTAATGAAACCTTTTAAAATGTTCGTAGTTTAGAATGCTAATATTTACTAATTTTTCCTTTCGCTTATTCTCATTTAAAGCCTGTCCAGTAAACATGCGAATCCCGAGTAACAATTAATTATGCAAATAGCCTATGTAGTTACCGTAGGATAATCACTAAGGTTTACCTTGGCCAAGATCTTCACAGCTAACCTAGGATAAACGAAAATAAAATACAAAATCCAGAAGACAACATTCTTGTCCAGATGTGCTGACAATATGTTCATTATCTATGATGTTATGGATCATGCTTCTCTTTTTTACTTAGTCCAAAAATAACGTTTACAATAAAATATCAAACAGTTAACCAAATCGATTTTTTAGATCTTGATGTAAGGCGGAAATATAATGAAAGTCTTGAGAAAAGTATATACTGGAAAAAAATATGAACATGACAGTACCCAAACTTCAACAGCGTTTGTGCTGCCAGTTAACAAAGGTGTCTAGTCGAGACGTTCTTCAATAGAACTATGCTTAAGCGGTAAAATAAATGAGGAGTCGGGTATTTAGGAAGAGCATCTCATAAAAAATTGGATTTCTGAAGTAAATTGTTAGGAAATTTATTACACACATCTCAAGCATGATTAACAACCAACCTTTGGAAGAAAATCTGTCTTCATCCACTTTCCATTCAAGGGAGATTAGATTTCAAGAAGAATCGATAGCATAGTCAATGCGGAACTGAAAATAAGCTACCTTACATTTTACTTGGTTTCATTGAATGACATCAGGTGTTCGTTGTATCATTCAAATGTAGATCGGTACCCTGCCAAGATTACTTTCAAATGCCTCTATGAAATCACATGTAGCTGATATAGTAAGTTTGTAGGAATGACAGAAAGAAGTGCTTCTACAAGGTTTCCTCTACACAAAGAAAACTACAGCTGAAAGGGCGTAAAGTCAAATGCAACTACCAGTCAAATTTTCGATAGTAGAAATGAAGTAATGCATTCAAAATAAACAACAGACAAAAAGCATCATTTTTATTCAGTTTGGCAGATGTAATCACTACCAGACATTTTCAACCTGACCTATGTATACAGAAGGAAAGTGTGATTAGGCTCTCCACGGCATGGTGATTTGATGTCTATCTACTAGTCTCTGTTTAAATAAAAACCTTATTTTACCAACTATTAGGTAGATGACATTATTTTCTCTTCATAAAACTTTCCATTCATGGCAAAACACTGGCTAAATTTTCGGTTTCCTTATTCGAATAGTGATTGGAAGTTGTAAGAATTCGGGCTCTTCAACTTATTCATTTCACTCGCTCAATTAAAAGTGTTTTACTAGAATTCATTTGTAAAAGTCATTATAATCTAATTACTAGTATACAGGACAAAATTTTCATGTGTTCTTATGCACATATGGGAATCGTGAACAAATGGCTTGTAGTGTCGGTTACTATGTTCATCCGTCTTGTGTCACATTTGACCTTATCAAACTTGACTGTTTTATATGAGCGTATGTGTGTGCACTACTTATCTTACTCATAACATTTATTTTTGTTCAGCTATAAATATCGATCAACGCTTAATTAAATCGAGTTAGCTCAAACTCTCTCTCTCTACCGCGGGTCATTTCGATTGGCTCTCTTCTCTTTGCTTTGATTCTCCGATAGTTTGTCAAGACCAACGACTGTATGAAATATATGTATTCAAAAATTCATTCTCCTAATTGGCTTATTTTAATTCCGTCATTCACTAACTTGATTTAAGTCCATAATAATATACGAGAATAGTCAGGATGTATATTTCGACAGCAATCATTCAATAACGATCATCAATCCACTCTAACTGGGGTCAGATCTCTGACCACTAAAACATGCATCCCAATATTGTTGTTCAAGTTTCATTACGAATTCAATACATATTGCTTCCAACACCGTTCCAGTATCCGGATAGCCACCAACTTATTAAATTTTCATTTTTTTTATGTTGAAGAGTTTATGTAAACTCAGTAGTTGGTATTCAGGAACAAATTTTGATCATGATTTTTTGGCATATGTGTATCTTTAACAAATCTCTACGTAAAATTCCTTCGATTTTAACTGAAATCAAATAAGATGAAAAAGTAATAAATAATCTAATATCTATAGCCTTTCGTGGCCCGGGATCTGACTCCATTTGGATCGTATGATGATTGCTATCGAGTTATCGAAATATACTTATCCTGACTAGCTTCTTTATTTATTTATTTGAACATATGGAGATTGGTACAACGGGGCACCAAATATATATGCGCCACATAAACCATTCGATTTGTGTGACGGAAGGGATACGTGGGTTAAGTCGACATTTATATAAGAGAGTAGTCGCACGTTACGACTCGTCAGATGAATGTACCTGCATCTGGGAGTAAACATCAACTCTTGCGTCTTGGATTCGATTGCTAGCCACCATTCATCTTCCCCTATGACACTTGAGATTTAAGGAAATATCGAGCCTATTCTCGCAGGATGAACATATATCCCTATAAAAGACTGATCAGATGCAGTCCTAAACACCAATGGGAAGTTTCAAACAACCAATACAGAAATGAATTGAAGCAATTCTGTTTATTATCAGAATGGGGATTAGTGGAGGTTGTAGTAATTTTAACCAAAGTTCCCGGGTTCGAGTCCCTTCGGTGCGGGATCGTGGATGCCCAATGATGAGGAGTCCCATACTAGGAAGAAACGGCCGTCCAGTGCTTTCAAGTTTTCAATTATGATCTAGCTTGGAACTACTACAATCCCCACAAATCCTTGATCCTGTTTATCTTAAAATTTTCTGTTTTTACTTGGTTTTATTGCTTAAATGAGGCCAAACATTCTCGTAGTTTACCATTCTGGAATGCTGTTTGTTTTTGTAAAAAATAATTTATTCCCCATTAATTCTCAGAATAGTCCAAGTCCTACACGTTATGATATCAAACGACTAGTTGTCGTACGTCCGATTTCTTATGGTTTCAAGAATACTGGTCGAATAAGACAATGCTCAACATTTACTAATGATGGTTTATGGTTACTTCCCGGTGCCTATAACGTTAATGAAGAAGATAAAAAGTAGGCTGGCCTAATGTTCATAAAATATTTGTATTGCTATTAAATTATCGTTCTTTGTCAAGTTGTTTAAATTGTTAATAAATTTTGAGACGAGTCATCCCGAACTTCTATTTCATATCATTTTAATAATCACCACTGAGCGGCTGGTTTAAAACAAGAAACTTAATTGATTGGAAATAGTATTACTAGGTGTAAAATAACTATGAATTACACATTTCACAGTTGGATATTTCTATATAGTTACGTGACTTGACACTAAAGAGAAAGTGATTGAGACCGCGAAATATTGATCAGTTGTTTATTCCTAGCTCATGACAACAACTGGGAAATACGTGGTTGAATTCGAAGCGTCTACTGTGGTATTTTTACACTATCCTCCGATCCAGACACTGATATATAGGGTCCCTATATGCAAGCCGAACAATTTATGTGAATGAGAAGACTGATAATGATTAAGAAGTTATAACTGACAAACCGAACATGTATACACAGGTCATTGATATATATGTATATATGTTTATATATATTCATACATAAATTCTTTGAATTTATAAGCTATGATTTGCATAATCGGCTTCGTCCGACAGCGTTTATTGTTTATCATCTCTCACCTAGCACTCGAAGAAGCATGTGAATACAGGCACGTGAATTGTCTGGATTAGCCGAGCACATCAAAGTACTCACCATTAACTTCACAATATTGGTGCTCTTATGGTAAAGTTTCAAGTTAGATTCACTTTGGAAAAGTGTGACCTTAAAGCAAGTACTAACTAATCCCTTGATTTTAGTGTAATTAGTCAAATGAAGAAAACACTGGTTTAGGATATGAATTAAGTGTCACATAAACTATCTGTGAATCATTGGAATAAACTTATTACTTAACTGGGAAACGAAAAACAAAACAATTAAAGGAATAAAAAAATTTCCCCCAATATTATTTATGATATAACGGCGGAAAATTGTCACTTGCAATAGGGAAACCGAAATTTACACAACCTAATGTACAAATTAAAAATTGATCCCAAATGAAGGTTTTATTCACCCTTCAAAATCATAATGAGACTTACTAACCAGGTAAACTTAATGAAAATCATACATACGATAGCGGACAGCTATATCATTATAATTTCTTGAGCTATTCAGAAGTAAATATGCCTGACGTCAGCGAGTAAAAAAGTGCTAAACAATAGGCTAACCACCATGCTAATAACTTGATCGTGAGGGAACTGGGGTTTATACTGGTTCGAATCCCATAACAGAACATTATTTTTGTCAAGATTACAGGTTTGCTCCGATGATAATCAGTAAATATTGAGAATATCAAGTTTTTCAGTCAATTATGTTCAGGGCGGAAACTTGGAGAATTACGAAAGCCATCATCTAAATAAATGCAAGTGTTAATTAACAGTTGTCTACGCAAAATACTTAGGATCCGTTGGTCAGATAATATCAGTAACAACTTACTGTGGAAGAGAACAAAACAGATCCCAGTGGAGGAAGAAATCAGGAAGAAGCAGTGGAAGTGGATTGTGTAGAACATGAAAGGAAGACCCAGGTCAGAGTGGGTTGGAGAATGCTGTTCAACTGTCTATGCTCTTTTGGAAGTAACAGGCATAAGTAAAGAAGTAAATATGATATATTGGAACAATATCTCTGCCAATACATTCATTTCAAAACATAATCTTGATTTTCAAACAACAAATGACCACTATAGAAATTAATTGAAAAGATACTAAGCAAAATATTATGACAGATAAAATTATGCCTTGAATATCCTTTTGACATTTCAACAATATTTAAATCTATTATTTACTTTATATAAAATAAACCTATTTATCATATAAGTGAAATGGAAACTAAAACTATGTATAACCCAAATGAATAAGATCCGATATACATATGTTGATCTACTTTATATTGGTTAATCAAATATATCACTATTATTATTACTTATTGATGTAATCTCACAATACCAATTCACTTTTCGTTTGTTTATCCAACTTGTTTATCTATTTGGTTGTTGTTCATTTTATAGATTAAATCAATGTCATAGAACATATTCATTTAAAAATATACCGAGAAAGTTTAATGATTTATTATTTGGTTTACAAGATAAGGTAAGTTGATTTATAAAATAATAAATAGATAATTGATATACTACTTATTTCAATTGTGAGTAGTATAGAATATAATTTATATCTCTTTTAATGTGAAAATCGTATATTTGAAATAATCTCAGTGATTGAAATTTTTAATTAAAAAAAAGTAATTCCAACGTTTCGTCCAACTAGCTTGCTTGTACCTCTTCAGGAGACAACAATCAAAGTCAAAGTTATCAAAGAATGATGATATAGCGTTTTAACAATCAAATCAAATCTATACTGTGCTAATTCAATTTATATTTGGATGTTGATTTTAGTAAATAGGATAACATGAATCAGTTACATGAGAATCATGTGAAAAAGTTCATTATGTGAATGTAAGATTGAAGGAACACAAACAATGTTTGAAAAATGTTCTCAAATCCTCAGTTGACTTAATGAAACTTGAGAATAAATTTGCGATAGTGTTACATGCGTTAGAAACAGGACACAAGGTTAATTTTGAAGGGACAAAAATACTTCAGAAAGGTTTTAGACATTCATAAGGAAAGATTGACAGCAGAAGTGATGTATATATGGGCGAACAATAATAGCCTGAACTGAAAGGATGGTATTCAACTAGAGACTACCCAACAAGTAATTGGACCCTTTTCTTTATCCAGTCTGTTTATTTCACATGCATCGTTATTTTGACTGGAATTTAATGTGAGTTATTTTTAGCAATACAATTATTTAATTGATGAGTTTCATTTTATTTGCACTTCAGTGATTCATAAACAATTTTTCAACCTTGAACTTGCATTTTTATTTATTTACATTATTTATTTCTGTTGAGACATCTATATCGTAAGAGAATGTTTTGATATTGATCAAAATTAGTGATTAATGAACATGAACATGAAACCTCAGAAAAAAATCTCTGAATTTCTATCATTTTTTGGGGAAAAAATCCCCCACAAGTATGAAAAAATTAGCCTCATCTAAGATAGACTTGCTCATTACCATGATGAAACATGATTGTAGTCATTTCTGATTTTTGGATTATCTTATGGTTGATATCCTTTTAATAAAATAAATAAGTAAAAATGATATTTTTGTGAAAGTCATTCTGGTTTAATAAAGTAACTGTTTATTATAGGAAATATATGCAAGCTGTTTAATTTATATATATATATATATATATATATATATATATATATATATATATATATATCACTTACTTGACTTACGCCTGTCACTCCTAATAGAGTATAGACAGCTGACCAGCATTCTCCAACCCGCTCAGTTCTGGGCTTTCCTTTCTATTTCTATCCAATTGTTGTTCATTCTTCTCATTTCTGTCTCCATTTCTCGATGTAATGTGTTCTTTGATCTACCTCTTTTTTTTGGCCTGGAGGATTCCAAATGAGAGCTTGCATTGTGACACACTTCGGTACTTTCCTCAATGTTTGTGCGACATATATCACAGATTAAGTTTAACTAGACAATCGATGCAAGCCAGGATGTGTTAGAAAGTCAAATCGTCATATAATGGAACTTTTCAATACCGATAAAAATCTCTACTAGGGATCAAATCTCAGAACTTTACGGAGAATTTATAAATGCTAGTTGTTACACTGACAATTCTAAATTTATATCTTGCATTTTAAAAATATGATTATTTCAAACGTTATTATTTATCTTGATATCTAATTTTGACCTGTATTTATGATTAACTGCTGTCATTATAACAGTGAAATTCCCCTGGTGTTGTTTTACTTGTATCTTCCTACTGTTACTTAAGACTGCAGTTGATCAGTCTCTTGCTGACAAATGTGCATCCTGTGCGGATTACCACGATAGAGGCTTATAGAATCTCTCCAAACTTCGTACATTTGTACAGTGAAAAGTTTCATTTTGTTTCTTTAATTTCTTATGAATAATGTATGATTCATTCTGAACGATGCAAGCTGTTGGGTTGAGAATAATTTGTAAAAAATAATTGGAAACGTGTTTTCTTTTCATTAATAGCAATCAAATATTCTACTTGGTCTCGAGCCAAATTCGATCAGAATTAATGTGGACATTACTTGATATTGCTTAAATGGTGGTAGAAGGCACTCTGTCTATACTTTAAGCTAGATTGAACTCTTCACTAAGTTGTTTCACCAATTTTCAGGGGACTAATAATCGCTACCATGGAGAAATTGTTTGACAACCCTTAATTCTCAAATCTTTATTCACCTATTATTTAAAAAAACTATAAATCAAACAGTTATCATCGAATTACATTACTGAATAATCATTTTCGTCATACTGTTGAGTTATGTTGAGATGAATCGATTGAATTAACACTGATCGTTATTTGTCCTCTTTATCAAGCTCAATAAATTCATATATTGTAAATTAACTGAGTATATGAAATATGCACTGTAGGACTTCAATTTAATGATCGTTAACTATTACACCATTGACAGACAATTATACTCTGTGAAGTTGTAACAGCTAAAAAGTTAAATTTAATATTATAAAAAATGTTGCGAATGTTTTTGAGCCACCTCATTCAAGGTCGATAATCACGCAAACCCCAACTAGGTAGTCTGCACCTACTTACATAGCTCGCTCCAGAAATCAATCACTTCATCCAGTCATCCCGTCTGTCTTTGAACACAAGGATAGGAGGTAACATAAAAGTGTACTGACAAGTATTTGAAGTAATCGTGGAACGTCAGTCAGTTGCAGCATAAACCCGATACGTTAGTACATCGGTCCAATTCGTCATACCACATTAGCACAACGAGATGACATCATTCTGGCTATTCCCGAAGTAGTAGAGTTGGTTGCACTTCTGGTAGTAATAGAAAAGATTAAGTATCTAAGATATGATTCAAGAAAATATAAATTAGTGAAATCTAAAAACAATTATGAAGAATTTAGAAACTTAGGATATAAGAGACGATTACGTGAAAATACGCCTAAACCATTATAAACGATTTATGTCGCGTCATCCAAAATCTATAACCTCCAAATATTTTGTTGATTAGTCATTTGACGTTGAATATTTTATTACGTTTAATAAACATTGTAATTTTAGCGGTACATATATGACTGGCATACGATAATGCAACGTAGAGTAAGAATTAATTTACATAGTAATAAACTCTCGGAAAATTAGGACTGTCAAAGCATAAAAAAATTATGATCACTTGGCGAATGTACTCATCAAGCAATTACAAACTGGAAGCACGATACCTTCCCCATACAGCAAGTTGGCAAATGCCAATAAGACCTTCTGAATTCCTGCTGAGATTTCTTCAAAAATCAGACCATCAGTGCGGATGAGACTCTCAAGATAAGTGAGGTGGTCGATACGTCCAACTACTTCACTCCCTATGACAAACTCAGGTCAATCCTGAAGCAACATTTTGAATTTGGAGGGTTAGAATCACGTCCGAAACATGCTTGTGTCGTTATTTAATGTGGTCAGAAGACTGCATTGTATCAGCATCAAACAGAACTATATTATCGAGGTACTCCAAGTCAACAAGTGAATCTCCCGATAGGAAAACTCCTGAAAAGGTAAGCAATCGAAGTGTTACTTTTAATAACATGTCAACGACGAGTTGGATAAAAATGGAAGAAGCAGATGACCCGGATAGTTTTCCACAAGCTCTGACTCAACTAGAAATGTTCGAGAAGAGAGCCTGTATAATGTTAATGTACTTCTTTGGGATATCTTTCAATGATAGACACCGCCACAGAACCTCATGATCCTCGTAGTTGAACTCCGTATTAAGGTCAAGAAATATAACTATAATCGGACATCGAACGGTATGTCTATGTTTCAGAACCTGGTGAAGGGTGAATACTCGGTCTATACATACTCGTTTACGTTTGAAACCAGCCTGGTTTTCTTGGGTTTGCTCCTAACGAGCTCTAATTAAACGTCGAAGTATTAACGAGGCTAATATTTTAGACATCTTAGTTAAACAGATTCCTCTGTGATTGTCACAAGAGGATTTTTGTCCCTTCTTATAAACTGAGATGATCAGCGATCGAGACCAGTCAGATGAGATTTCATGCAGTTCTCAGGTTCTAGCTAAGATTTCAGTCAACTTGACCGGTAAAACTGGACTAACATCCCTAAAGATCTGAGGACTTGACTCATAAATTCAACTACTGAAATTACCATAAAATCCACAGTGAGACGAAAACCTAATTACAAAACCTCAACTAGTTTAGATATTTCCACAATCATTACAATAAACTGACCTTAATTTAATAGTCTTTGGAAACCAAGGAGTACTAGACAGGTACTTCGACCTAGCAGTAGTAAACACCCACGACCATACTGGATCGTACAGAAAACTCTCAAGTTCTTCACTTGAACTCTAGACAAAGAAGCCATTATCCAATGATTTAAACATGTAATCTCAATCAGTTTTTATTAATTCAAATCAAGGAATATTTATGATGGTTATTTCAAATGATATTTCTTTTCCCAATTTCAGAATTTGTGTTTAGCTCCCGGCCAGTATAACCCTTATGGTGAAGAGCAGATTAAAAACACACAATTGCCTTCATATCACAGTGTATTTAAATCAAAATACCCCAGATCTGTTTCAAGTCAAAAGCAAGTAAGTCATAAAAAACACTAACAAAAACTTTTCCTGGTGTGAAGTTACATTTTTTTCTCAGAATAACTGGATATCATGTATGAGTTATGATTAAATTCATCAAGAAATGATGGATTGAATACAAATGCACTATTAGCATCTTTTCAAAAGTATAGCACTTCAATATCAAAATGGTTGGCCCTTGTCAGCAAGGCATTTTAAATTTCTGGAGGAAAGAGATTTTTCTGGTATCTGAAACCCGTATATCTAATGATCTACTAGGTTGCTGGGTACCTATATGGTTGCATCACAGGACTGAATTGTGTTATTCGGATTGTAATGCTAAGGCCTGAATAGTATCTGGTTCTTCCGAAAACCGACATAGAATTATTCTCGTCCAAAAGGGTATATTATATAATTGTGAATATTATCACACTCATATGTACACCGATTGATAACTGAGTGGTAATCGATATCATATTTGTCTAGTCATTAATGGGGATTTAATTCTGTCAATAAAATTGTAATATAGTTGATACTTCGAATTAGCACATAGTACGTGTCTTACGTGTTGATGTGACTTAGTGCCCTGAACAATTCAGATATGGATTACTTATGTGTCAACTTATCTGCATGACTTCTTTCCACTTCCCATTAATTATTTCATGGTCATGTAGATTACTAGTACCTATAATCAGGTGTTTGTTGTCGTAATTAAGTTTTAAGATAAAAAGAGATAGTTGTACTTTTGAAATAAATAATAGATAAAACTTCAAAGCTATTATAGACAACATAAATTATGATCAGTATTGTGATTCAGGATGGATAAGAAATTCAGTCGACTATCGACAACAGAATGTTCAAAAATCCTCACTAATACTGATTGCTATATAGATGATACCCGTTGCAGATGTTACGGGCTACCTAAACTTAGTAGCTTAATGAATAACGCCTTGATGTTAAAAGCGAAAAGTACTGGGTTCGAGTCCCAGAGTGAACATCAACATTGAAATTCAGGTAAATCCACCTAATAAACGTCCTGGATCCCATATAGCGACTCACGTGCAATTGAGTTTAGCTCAGTCAATGTCTTTTGTTAACCTATTTAATGGACAAATTCATCCATGATATAATAACTTGTTGTATTTTTATTATTATTGTGCTTGTATGAAATACGTATGCTTCAACATTGTTTAACGCCTACGCATGTATTCATTCTGCTAGCTTCATTATTAGCTGCTTAATCTATTCGATGACTCATCCATTTTCCTATATATATATATATATATATATATATATATATATATATATATATATATATATATATACAATACCACTACTCCTACTCCTACTACTACTGCTACTACAACAATCGTAGTTCGCTTGCTCATCCATTTTGCCTCTCTGCTGTCCGGACCGAATTATCTGCTAAATAAACTGTAGTAGCTGCTTCTTTTTGCCTTCTGATTTCAAACACCGTTGAAGATTGTATGATAACGGTTCGACGGTGATTAGTTATCGAAGCACAGCCACTACACCCACTGTTGGCTATAAGTCATCTATTTGAAACAACTTTACTTTCAAATTAAAAATGTAGCATAAACTTAAATTGTTTCAATTAATTTTTATTCTTTAATCTAAAACACTTTAAGAGTATGGTAAGTTTTCATACCTGTAAATTGATCAGAAAATTCTGATTTATATTTTTATAAAATGTTAAATTGCAAACATTGATGATAAGTACAATGCGCACAGTGGTATGAGTCTGAGAAGAACACGTGTTTCGTAAACAGTATAGGTTACCTGACTGGTGGGTAGAGATCATCTTCAGTTATATAATGTTTAGTATAATGAATTGTGATAAAGAGTAACACAGATTAATGAATATCTCATAAATTTGTTACTTAGATTTATCTCAAAGTTAATGATAAGAAAACAATATTGCTAGGATGATATATCAGTCTTGGAAACTAGATATTATCCAACAATCATCTGAATTTCACTAGTATGAATAGTAACTCTTGAGAACTGTTTATGGACCAATAGGATACATGCATGTTTACTGTATTATTATTAAGTAGCTAAGCTATTCATATTCATGTTCCTTCTATTTAAAGCTTTATCTCGACCTCTAGACAAGTATAATACAATTTACCGTTCTAGAATTCGGTCCAGTCTATTAATTGCAGTCTCTCACATCCACAGCCACTTTTGGCTGTTATTTTCTATTTTATGGTTTGTATATAAATCCAGTGTGTTTGAAATAAACCATTCATATCACAGTGGCTGAGAATAGTGTTCTTGACTCAATAGGTAGGCAAGGTTAGGCAGCAAGAACGATAGATAAGGACTCTAGACTGTTCGCACGGGTTTTGTTTCACTGATCTGGTCGATAAGGCACTGTTCTCTAATTGACAATATCATTACATTGTATAATACATAAGAAACAAAGCCACAAGATATAACCCATTTAACAATAGTTTAAATGAGATAATATCATGTAATGTGAGTAAAACTAATTGAATAAATCATACATCATAATCATAATGGATTCTTATGATTGTACATGCAATGAACATTATTTAATTTAATTTATATTTATATTTTTTTAAAACGCAACAACAAGATGTTTGATTTATCAATTTATTACTATGGGCCAACACCTAAACAGGTGTAAGTTTTAAATGTTACTTTGACATTACAATAACACACCTTTTGTCATAGTTGTAGCTGATTTCAAGTGATTTCTATGTTAATTCACTTGTAATATGATATATATAAATGAATATTTAATATTAAATAGAATAACGTCCTCGTTCTACAGTCATTACAATGGTATGTTCTCGTGACATCAGATTGGATTGAAATTGAAATGTTGAAATCTTATAACATTTATGATATAGATCGAAATCTGAACGAAATTAGGATCATACCTAACATTGTTGCCACTTTGAACTGGTAATCAAGCATGCCTATCGTGATGAAGAAACCGGGCTATACTGGCTCGAACTACCGTTCATCAAAGTCTTACTATACCAGACAGGTCGTTTGAAGAGCGGTAAGACTAAAAGCAACAAACCCAAGGTCCGAAGGCGAAGTCGTACTTCTGACTGTACAGAGGTATGAGAGTAGTAAGATGTTTCCTTGAGACAACCAGCATAACAGCGATGCTGAATTCTCACAAGGAAGGATTAGGTTAGAAAAGGTCGACCCTAAAAATACACACTTTGTCTTATCCCATCCTTATCCATCTCCGGCGGTAAAATCTCAAAAAGTGCGGAGCTAACACGAAAATTACTCATAAAAAGGTCGTGTGTGACCGACCTCAAGCAGTTGTCCCTTGGGCACTGCGGTCACTCTCCCAAGTCACTAAAACCACCTCTAATCCAATTTCCTTTTCAGGTGCCTCCAGAAGTGGTAAGCTCCCTCATACCTCTAACAGCACTCAAGACCACTGTATTCATAATCGACCTTCCTCTTCATTTCTTCCTATTCACTGATTTATATATATATATATATATATATATATATATATATATATATATGGAGAGAAAGAGTTAAACTACGATAAAATATCCTAGTGTTCTTCAGTTTTGAGCAATTTTATAGCTGTAATTAATTCATTTTTACAGTGGACTTCATGCAAAATTATGTTTTTCAGATTTAACTTAGGACTCTAATGTGGACTATGGAGTTACGTAATAAATAAAATTCATTTCGCTTGAAAAATTCACATCAAAGTTTTGAAAAGTTCTTTTAGGACTCAACTCTTAGTTTGACAAATGAACTACAAAGAAGATCAAATGCTTATTTAAAGATTAAAGTCGATATTGGTCAACTGCACAGTCCAAACTATCTTCAACATGTCACTGTGTTCAAAACTGATGGGATTTCTGAGTTCTAATGAATCTTCAACATCCTGAATTATAGATATATTCAATCACCTAATTACTTACGCCTGTTACTCCTCGTGGAGGAGCATAGGTCGCTTACCAACACTTTCCCCTCAACCCTGTCCTGGGCAATCCTTTCCAGCTCTTTCCCGTTGCTATTCATCCTTTTCATATCTGCTTCTATTTCCCAATGCAATATGTTCTTTGGCCTTCCACTTTTCCGCTTCCCTTCAGGACTCCAAGTTAGGGCTTGCCTCGTGATGCAGTTTAGTGATTTCTGCAATGTATGTCCTATCCATTTCCATCGTCTTTTTTTAATTTCCTCTTCAACCGGGAGCTGGTTTTTTGTCTCCCAGAGAAGGCTGTTGCTGATGGTATCTGGCCAATATTATATATATTTACTCTATTGATAATGATCAACTATTTCTATCTAGGTGGTGAAAATTAGCGTAATGATGTCGCGTAGTTCTTTTGGTGCTCATAAAGCACACTTGACAGATGAAATTTTCTCACTCAATACTTTCTAATTCTAAGATCAAATAGCTTTATTTAACCTTATTCAACTACTTAAAATGGGCTTTTTTCACCTTAAAAGGATAGTTAAACACTCATTCCAGTTTGATTAGCTAAAACAAAATGTATTATTTGTATTATTTTATTCTTAAGGATAATGTGCCTCCACCAGGTGCTTACAATTTGTCATTTAATGAAACATTTGGAATAATCTCTCCATTTGTATCACAGGTACCCAGATTTAAACGTTCAAAATCGGTAGGTATTCGTTGTTTCATTCATGATATAAATAAATATCGATGTCAGAAGAATTAAAGTATTTTTGAATCAGTGGTTTATATCTATATCTTTTATTGTGCATACAAGAATATCATTCGAATACTAAGCTGGAAGCAAATAAATTAAAGGAACTAGCTGTTCACAACCACCTGGAACGATGAACAAAATAAATACTGCTTAGTATCATAAACATTGAACGCTTTGAGACCGATTGTGATTCTGTAGTCCGGTGGATGTGGAGTTGGGTATTTTTAAAGATTTCAAGGATTTAGTACCTTGATGAAAATGAAGTTGCGAAATGAAATGCAAATTTTTGATTGCACAAACAAGCACTGGAGTACTCATTCATTGAATAGCTAAAAACACTGATCTTAAATGTATGGCAGTGGCCATTATTGTCATGAATCTCTGAGGTTAAGCGCGTTTTTTTGTTGTAACTGTCAACATACTTTACGATTGAATTTCAACGTATGAAGATTTCGACAGTAGCTATTCCTAACCACGAAGGGAGGTGTTCACTAACTCTTTGGTTCAGTTACCTGGTAGTGCGCCATAATATAGCTTTCTCCACAGGAGCAGCTGAATTTGTAGATACACACAGAAGTGACATAACCAGGTAACTTATCCTTCAGTTGGGGAATCACTATAGATCAGGTCGAATACGATAGACAGAGGTTGACTGCATTAAACGTTCTCTTCACTGCTCTAGTCAGTCTATCACGTAGTACAGCATCAGCTGCATCACCATTGAATTGCAGCTTTAAGGAGAGAAGATTCTTACTAGACGTTGATGTCGCTATTTACCTATTTGTTACACGCAGGTGTTTCTTCAGAAAACTCTGTAGATAATCCATTTCAATCAACATATTATGTATGAGCTCTAATTCCTTATTAGTTGTATCGACTGAGGATATCTTACTAGCTCTATTATTTCACTGAAACCTATCAGTAGTTTTATCCACTTCTCACATAAGTGTGTACTTTATTATGATTTCATCTTCTATTTGTACTCAATGTACGAAATCAATGGATACATTTTGTTGTCGACAAATCCTATCATTATGTTGACATTGTCAAGAAAGTAACCGACTATTATTTTGAATAATAACTAACAATTTTTCAGATAAGGATCCGACGATTATTCTAATGTTTTGCAAAACTTAGTTATTTTAATGGTTGAGATCATGAGTCAATTGAAGCTAGACCACCATCCACCATTCTGATATTGATCAACATATGCTCACTAGTGACTGACATCAAAAGAGGCATTTCTTGGAGTTCTAGTGGGAAGCAATGACTAGTGGAGTTCAACCTGGTCTGTTGTGAGATAGTAACTCACTAAATACAATGGTGGATGTGTCACTCAATTTCGTGGATTAGTTGAAGTTAGAAATTAACACCATTGATGCAGGTCAGCTCAGTGGTCTATTGATTAGGCGGTCGCGCGCGAGACTAATAGGTTCTTGATTGGAATCTCGTTAGGCGGGATCGTAGATGCGCATTATTGAGGTGTTCCATAATCGGACGAAACAGCCGTCCAGTGCTTTCACGTTTTTCATGTTAGTCTACCTTCAATTGACTCATGGTTTCAACTATTGAAATTATTATAATATCCACAAAACCCTATGTAATAAAAATTAGTTAACTTATTGTTTCATTATGATGTATTTATAAACAAATTTCAGTTTGTCCCAGGTCCTGGTACGTATAATATCAATTGAGTAACATAATGTATTAAACAACTAAGTAAAATGGATACATATTATGGATTATCCATTCGTGATTATGGTGTTGACAATGACACTACAAATAAATGAAAATATTATGAAAATGTTCTTTTGAAGTACAAATTTTAATGGGATAATTTGGGATTTAATAAAATTTTACTGAATGTTTGTGATTTGTTTTTATTTATAAATCTGATTCAGTAAGAGAAATATTGTTTGTATGATAAATAAGTTCAGTAGTGTCCTGTAAATGTTCTTCGTGAGATCAATACCAATTCAGACAGTCTAAACAGTCTTTCTAAAACAGTTCTAAACTCTTCAACAGTTTGGAAACTGAATATTATGTGAAATTAAATTCGGAATTAAAATCATAGTCCAAAGGTTGATATTTTCAACTTCGGTAGGTTCATATTAAAGTGAGATGGTCATCATTTATTAATAACAATGACTATTTGAGCTCTGACATACCTGAACGTCATTGCTTACAGCTTATCACTAGAAATACGGGAACACCTACCTCAAGTTCGATATTGATGAGTATTAGTAAACCAATAAAGTCGTCTAAATACTAAGTTTTCGTCACAAGGCCTGAATATTTATAAATTAATCACGGATGAAGTACTGAGTTTTCACAGCTGAGGCGTCTCATACAAATATGAACAAACTGTCTATCGAGCCTTTAATTTCGGTGACTGATCATCTGCTTGGATTTGGATTATCTGTTTTGACTGATTACAGAGCGATAGATATTTTCATCTTGTTCAGTTCACTGAGATAACGGAGTACTGTTGATCGAGGAAATATAAACATATAAAATTAAAGAAGGATAAATATAGTTCAGTAAAGAAAGCTTTCGACTGTACAATCGTATTTATAAACCAGACAGCCCAATAAGACCTATAGTGGACTACACAAACACACCTACATATCCATTATCTAAATATCTGAGCAGCGTATAAAAGCCATTTCAACACAGATAACATAATGTAACTAATGATTCCTATGACTTTAGGTCAAAAATATCGGAATTAATAATGGAAAAAGATGAAACAGTGGTAAGCTATGATGTTGTATCTCTATACACTAGTATTCCTATCGACAGATGCCTAAACTTTATCAACGGTTTACTATAGAATGACCATACCTTATCTAACATTTGTCTTTTAAGCATCAGTCTTATCATGAAATCTCTTAAACCATGCTTAGATTCAACCTTATTGACTTTCAAAGAGATATAATACAAACCAACAAAAAGAAGTAGCTATTAGATCCTCCGTGTACCTGATTGTAGCCAGCCTGTTTATATCACATATATAATCAAATATTTTCGCCAATGGAATTAAACCACGAGTTGAAGTCAAGTAAATAGATGAAAAGTTTTTCGCCATGAAAAAGACTCTACTATGACACTTTCCTTAACTGCTCAATACTTTCTCTTATTACATTACGTTCAATCATGGAAATGACCAAGATGAGCTGTTATTTTTAGATTGCTTGATTAAAAAAGATTTAAGTGGACTATAAATCTAACTGTTTACCGAAAACCAACACACTCTAATCGTTATATTGACTTCGATTTAGCACATAATTTCAGTACAAAAATTGTGACTATGATCATTAACAGCTGAAGAGGATAAACAAGAATAAAAGTGGGATAATAATTAACATGTGATAATTTAATAATTTTTCCATAAACATTATTAAAAGTGTAATAAAACGGGAGAATTTAAAGTTGTGTAGTAGTTCAAGTGAAATACTATGGTTTTATGCCGTAGTTCTACCGTACTGCCATGATACAATTGAAGAAATTCAAAGAGTCTCGAAACAACATAGAACTAAAGCAAGCTACAAAACAACTAACACTCTTTAAAATCCTGTGGTTCGTATAATGGATAAAATAATAGTGATAATGATATATATATAGAAGAACTTGACTGGATATAACGGATAGCTTATTAGGTATTTTGAGAAAGCAGAAGAAAAAGAAAAAGATTAGGTTTAGTTTGAGTATCCTCTTCCGTAAAGGGTCAAGTTCTAGTTTATTATATCTGGACTTACGATTCAAAGTACAACCAGTTCCAAGAATCCGAATTTTAAATCGCCCGTGTACGGATTCCAACCTTAATTTATTCTTTATGCGCATACTACAAAGGATAACCCTGCAGTATTCTAGGAGTGATCGAACAAGTTATTTGTACATCAAAATACGTGACTCGTTGTTATTGAAGTCTAGAATTATGCAACCCATAAGACGTTGGGATTCGGAGGTTTATTTTGAGACATATTCTTTTAAGGGGCAAATCTTAAGAGTACCTAAGTGATAAGTCTATTACTGGTTGTAAATTAGATAGCACCTTATCATTTATGGTAAGATCCAAGTTGAGACATGTATTACTGAAGCACATCCACCTATATTAAGTGGTGGTAATCTCCACCTGATATTTCGCGCACCACTGAGCCACTTTGGTAAGCTCTATACTGATGCAATTTTGCATATTGGTGAGCTCATGAGGAAGAAATGAATACGCTGCCTGAAGATCATCTGCATACGGAAGGGGTCTACTGATGTATGTGGGTGGGAATGATAATGATTGGTTGTTTGCTTAGTCAGACATGTAGATGGTGTTAGGCGAGTTATATATTCCCCTATCGGTATTATTAATAATTGTTGATTTTTTATTGCTGTTGGATTGTGTCGAGTTTTGGTGTGGAAATATATTTATGTTCTAGTCAGGCGAATCAAGTGTTCTTGATCTGAGTTGTGTTGAAGACTTGTAGAATAGACACTAAGAGAGAATCTAATTTAGATATTCATCTAAGGCAAATTAACGTCCCGTTCGTGTATACGTGGAAAACCGAGCGTTATAACAATTTCGGACCCCATAGTATGCGAGTTTGTCCATAAGAAGCTGGTGGTTCATTAAGTCGAAGGCTTTATAAATGTTAAAACACAACACTAGAGATAAATATTCTTGGTTACGTTGAGAAAAGACTAATTTGATGAAGTTAAAGTGGTATGTCATACAAAACCCATCTTTAAGAAATCCATGTTCAGAATCATTGATAAATTTTCCAGGGAGTAAATAGTTGGAGAGTTCGTCACTAACAATTTTTTCCATAATGCTAGAGAGCCCTGGAGTATAATTTGTGAGCCAATAAGTGTTCATTTCAATCTTACCTCTAAATTTAAAACGTGGTATGATATACGAGATTTTCCAACAGTAAGAGTAAGCACCTGTTTACAGAGAGAGGGTAAACAGCTTTAGGAAAAGTAGTGGAATATCTGGACCACCGTATTTGTAGAGATAGGATGAAATCCCGTCCACTCCATGACCACTCGAAAACTCGAGGGAGTTTATAGCCTTACTAATCTTTAGGCATGTGAAGGAGATAGATTATATCGAGTTACTAGTCAAATACATAACTTTTGTAAGTGTCATTTACGAATTCTTTATCATGCGCAAAAATACCAGTGAGTCTGCTATAGTTTTGAAGTCATATAAAAACATGCCATTGTGTAGGATGCATATTATATCAACATTTTGAGTTTCTTTAACGCGTTTATTGAAAAGGAAAATTAAGTTTTGTACTTCTGATTAAGTATTAAGTGCTAACGACCCCTCATTGTTTGCTTTTAATCTGTGTTTCTTTTTGATTCGGTTAAAAATTATTGCTATTTGTGCAACTGCCGTGAAATCGTTTGAATCGAAATAACGTTTCTGTAGGCGTTTTAATTTACTATGATATTTAGCTGGTATAAGTAATTTGTTAGGTTTACGAAACCTGTAGGTTTTAAGGGGTGGGTAGGAATCTAAACAAGAGCCGGCGGTTAGATAGAATGTGTCAATGGTATCCACGAGACTGTTACATGAGAAGAAGGTATTCCAGTCCGATCATTTAACCAGTGAGCTCCAAAGGTCCCAGTCAGCATGCTTATAGTATGAGTTGGTTATAAGAGGGATAGAGAGGGAGAGTACAAACCACTTTTTTGCGGTCACTGCTTTCAAATTCATCGTGTACTTGTACAGATAATGGGATGATATATCAGCTAAATATTAGATCAAGTATATTACCACAAAGTGTTGAAGTATGAACCCACTGTGTCCAACAGTACAGGTTAATGGTTGCTGAGAACCCATCATTACATGACTGATAACTATCGGTATTCCAATTTATTCTAGGATAATTCAAATCTGTAATAACCTTAGCAATGTAGTTTAGAGCAAATGCATGTATAAATGCATTGTTAATAGCATTATTCACATTATCTGAACTATCGGGAGCTCTTCATATACATCCGAGGACTAGACTATGATTCAGTGCGTTGATTGATATCCAGACCGATTCAGGTAAACTATTCAGGACACTGTCTTCAACTTTACATAAAACAACCACCTTCTCACTCAGTTTCTCTGTTACAGCTATAGAGTCAGTAGTTCCGGATATTTGATTCTGAACCAGACATTGAGTGAGAGCATCATGCTTCAATGATACGTTTGAAAGAAGACTTTGTTAGTAAAGCTTTATGACACGCGACTGAGTCTACAAATTCGAGTGTGTTGATTATGATGCCTTCTATGCTAGAGTTTCATTTGGTGAAATCTTAACTCACGTTAAAGAACATCAAAGCTACACAAATAAACCATCTGATAATCCTGCAGAACCTAAAATACTCCAAATTTGATCATCAATAATATTGGAGGCCATCTTCAAAAACCATCGATACCAAAAATATCAAAATAATACAAAAAAGCTTTCACAACTACAAAGATAGGCGAAGAGCTAAACTTTTCTATATATTGCTAAATCCTGCTCCACTTAATAGAAGAAAAGCCATTACTATCAATCCGATTTGGATCATCTATCCGAGCTACCATGTCTGATTCTATTCACATCACACCATTATCATACCAATCCAAGTCTACCATTTCACATTATGAATGTTAAATTTTCACACTCATTAACAAACACACAAGCATGTCACATCTGAACAACGTTGA